GGTTTATTGTCATACTGGGCTCTTTATATTTGATGTTGAATGTGTTGCTATGAATAAAGTTTTTACCTCTGTTGCTTATATTGTGAAGTCTATTAATTTATGGCATGCTAGACTAGGACATGTGAATGTTGCCTCTATTAAAAGGATGAAACAATTGAATTTAATTCCTAATCTAGCAAGTATAGAATCTGGTAAATGTGAGATATGTGTTGAAGCCAAACAATTTAAGAAACCTTTTAAATCAATAGAAAGAAAGACAGAACTTTTAGAACTTGTACATACTGATCTAGGGGATTTCAAAAACACCTTGAGTAGAGGAGGCAAACACTATTACATATTATTCATAGATGATTACTCTAGATATACTAAGGTGTATTTACTTAGCCATAAAAATGAAGCAGATCAAATGCTTACAAAAAGACAGAAGTAGAAAATCAACTTGAAAAGAAAAATAAATGAGTTAAGTCAAATAAAGGAGGCGAATATGGGTCAAATCTACTCAAAGAGTACTGTGAAATAATGGGATTATACATGAACAAACAGCTCTTTACACTCACGAACAAAATAGAATAGCAGAAACAAAAAACAGAAAAGATATGATAAATGCAATGCTAATTAGTTTAGGATTACCAATGAATATGTGGACGGAATCTATTTTATCTGCTTGTCATGCGTTGAATAGGGTTCCACATAAGAAAACAAACAAAACACAATATGAGTTATGGAAAGGTTATGTCCCAAACCTTAGTTATCTCAAAGTGTGGGAGTGTTTGGCAAAGGTAGGTATTCCAGACCTTAAAAAGAGTAAAATCGAACCTAAAACTTTTGATTGTGTTCATTGGATATGCCCAAAACAGTGCAGCATACAAATTTTTGAACCTTTAGGCAAACACTATTTCTTGAAACTAAAGATGCAGAATTTTTCAAGCACATTTACCTAATGAAAAATTAGAGTTCATTACTATCAACCTCTTCCAAATCCACTTTTGAAATAACTAGAGATTTACCTGTCCAAGACCTTAGAAAAAGTAAAAGACCTAGAATAGAGTCTAGTTTCGGACCAGATTTTTATCACAGCTTTCATTGTTGAAAAAGACCCTAAAACATATCAAGAAGCTATGAAATCAATAGATGCTAACTTTTGGAAAGATGCAATACATAGTGAACTAGAATCAATCATGACTAATCACACTTGGGGACTAGTGGATCTACCTAGAGGATGTAAGCCTATAGGATGTAAATGGTTATTTAGAAAGAAGCCTAAAGCAGATGCGTCTATAGATAAATTTAAAGCCAGATTAGTAGCTAAAGGATATACACAAAAAGAGGGAATAGATATTTTGACACATATTCACCCACGACACATATTGACACAGATCCACCCATGACACATATAGCTACTATTAGAGTCTTGATTGCCATAACTTCTATGCACAAACTTGTAATATATCAAATGGAAGTTAAAACTGCTTTCCTTAATGGAGAATTAGATGAAGAAATTTACATGGAATAACCCCAGGGATTTATAGTGCATGCACAAGAAAATAAAGTATGTAAACTTGTTAAATCACTATATGGTTTGAAGCAAGCATCTAAACAGTGGCATGAAAAATTTGACCAAACACTTATCTCTAATGAATTTATAGAAAGTAAATATGACAGATGTGTTTATAGTAAATCTTTTTGATTTTTGTGGTGCCATTATTTGCTTATATGTTGATGACATGTTAATTTTGGGTAATGATGAAGAAGTTGTTAATAACACCAAAAACTTTTTGTCCACAAACTTTGATATGAAGATAAAAGGAGAGTTAATGTCATTTTGGGACTCAAATTGAAACATGATAAAGAAGGTATTATTTCGTCCTAGTCACATTACATTGAACAAATGCTTAAAAGGTTTAATCATTATGACTCAGAACCTGTAAAAACACCATATGACCCGAGCTTACACTTGAAGAAAAATAAAGGACCTAATGTAGCATAATCTAAATATGCTAAGGTTTTTGGCAATGTTATGTTTCTAATGAATTGTGCACAACCAGATATTGCTTACACTGTGAGTAAGTTGAGTAGATACACACACAACCCTGGCAGGGAACATTGAACTGCCTTGACTAAACTATTAAGATACTTGAGAGGCACAATAGACTTGGGGCTACGTTATACTAGGTATCCTAAGGTCTTAGAAGGGTATTGTGATGCAAATTGGATTTCAAATAATGATGAGTCCAACTTTACAAGTGGGTATGTATTCACCCTAAGTGGTGGAGCAATATCTTAGAAATCATGTAAATAAACTTGTACTGCTAAATCAACTATGGAATATGAATTCATTGCTCTAAAATTGGTAGGTACAGAGGAAGAATGGATAAGAAATCTCTTGTCTAATATTCCATTGTTGGGGAAACCAGTAGCTTCGATTTTATACATTGTGATTCATAGGTAACAATGGCTCTAGCAAAGAACAAGATATATAATGGAAAAAGTCGGCACCTAAAATTAAGATACAACATTGTCAGACAACTCATGAACAATGGTGTAGTAACCATGGAGTTTGTAAAGTCAAAACAAAACTTAGCTGATCCTTTAACTAAAAGACTAAACAGAAAGCTAGTATATGATACATCGAGGGGGATGGGATTGAAGCCAATCATGTGAATCTCCCATGATGGAAACCTAACTTATGTGATTGGAGATACCATGAAGTAAGTTCAATGGGTAAGAATAAGTCCTAGGGAGATTCTATTTGCACTATCATTAGTTGTCCATCCCTATGGTGTAGATAGTGCTATTATCAAAAAAAGAATAGAGTAAGTGATGAACTCTTAATGAATTCGTAGTCATTATTAGTGGTGTGTGATAGCACACACTTGATGAGTTCACCTATATGGGTATGGAAGTGGGACCGCTTTCTATGAGAGTATGGCAAACTCTCTAGAGCACTCATGAATATCCAAGTGGAGCACACAGCTAAAAAGAGCTAAAACGAGAACTTGCATAGATTGGAGTGGAGGTACGTATCCAAGTTTGAGAAATCATATCAAAGTTGGTAGATTCAAGACACAATTCTGATTCGAGCCTAATCTTATATTTTTAGCCCCTTCAAATACATTTTATTAGTCCATTTATTTTCACTATTTTATAATTTTACATATTTTTGTGTGTTTTTATATATTTTGAGTGTTTGTACAAAAATTAATATAAATAATATATTTTAAATATTATTATATTAAAAAGGTGCACAGTATTTAACTGTGCACCCACGCCACCCACGTTGCTCCAACTTTTATATATGTATAAGTTTGTATTTTATTTTCATATTATTTATTTTTTGTTTTGTTTTGTTGATTTGAAGGTCATGCTTTGCTTATAAAAGGCAAAGTAATTTAAGGAATTGGGGAGCTCAGTAAGCTTCAGTCGAGGCTCTACAAGAAAACAAAAAGAAAAAAGAAAAGAAAAGAAAGAAAGGAAGAATGGGAAGGTTTAGAGTGTATATATTTTATAGTGATTGTAATATTAATATATGGAACTAATTTCCATATCTTAGGGTTAAGATGAAATTCTGATCAAGTGATTGGGATAGTTTGTATTTAGTTTTGTAGATTTTTAATTGATCTGGGTACTGTTGCATAACTTTGATTTTAGTGCAAATAATGTTTTATTAAATTATGCGTTCACTGGTCATGAATACATGTTATACAATTGTTTTCACCGCTTGTGTATTGAAATTGTTAGAGTATTGAAATTGTTAGACGAGTCATACATAATAAGACAAGTCTTGCATCAACAATAGTTTAGTTTAGTTTAGTGGTGACAGTCTGTGCTAAGAGAAAATAATTCATGACTTTCTGATTTTAAAACACAAATCTTTTAAGTTATGTGTTCTGACCAAGACACATCGTAGTACCCATTTCAGTGATTTTCTACAATCTAAATATAATAACCCCCAATTGCAAGGTTAGTAGTGGATTCTAGACCCTAAGGTTTTCTTTTTCTCACTTTCCATTTTCAAAACTGAAATCTTTGAACTAAAAATAACTTGCCCTAGTCTCTGTGGTTCAACACCCCGTTCTCAACCGCTATAATTCGTAGTAGTAGTTACTACCGGTTTTATTCATTTTATTTTGGTGTGCAAACGACAGCATCAAATTTTGGCATTGTTGCAGAGGACTTCTAGTAAGTTTGTTTTTTGAAAATTTCAATTAGTTTTTATTTTTGCTGATTTTTCTTTTTGTGTAGATTGTCTTGTGCAGGTGAACTAAAAAATCAAAAATAACATAAAATAATTCATACCGTTCCATTAAGGAAATACCCATGTTGGACATATAATTTGTGGGATATTTACCATTGTTGACACTAGTGGATGACCTTTGTTGGACATATAACTTTGAGGATATATTAAAAAATAAAAAAATAATAAATTTTAAAAAAAAACTTCTGACTATTAAAGTGTTATTTATTTTTGTTGTACTAATTTGCAAGTGTTTTCTTTCTTTGTGTTGTTGTTGTGAAAAAGAAAAAAAAAATGTGAGTGCGTATGCATGGTTGTCATTCTTGTCTTGTAAAATTATTGTACGACCCTTAGAAATCTCCAAAAATCTAAATCGACTTTAGCAATAGCTGAAGCAGTAATTGACTAACCTATGTCACTGAAGGCACATTTTACCCCTACCGTTGATGTTTCATCATCTTGCATCTAATTGCCAATTACCGAAGCAACCCATTATGAGATTAAGCTTAGTACCATTCAAACGCTTTCATCTTTTCACGAGCTTAGTAATGAGGATCCCTATAAACATCTCAGTGAGTTTTTAGAGACATGTTATATAGTGAAACTCCAAAATTTTACCGATAAGGCCCTTAAGTTGAGACTGTTTCCCTTTTAACTTAAGAATAAGGCCAAATACTAGCTAAATTCCTTACCTGCCAACTCTATCATAACCTGGGACCAATTGAGGCAAAAAAAATTAGACAAATATTTTTTCATAGGTAAAACCAATCAGATACGACATGCCATCACCAATTTTTCTCAAATTGATGGTGAGCACTACTATGAGAGTTGGGAAAAGTTTCGAGATTTACTTTATCAGTGTCCCCATCATCAAGTACCCCAGTGGCAGCTTATTCACATTTGCTATTCTGATTTGATTGACTCATTCAAACAAATGGTCGACTCAGCCTGTGATGGGACGTTTATTACTAAGAGTGATGTATAGGCATGGGAGTTGTTTGAAAATTCGAGTGAAAATTCCTTACACCATGTGTCTGCCTCTCGGCATGAGAATCAACCAACCCTTAGTGGTATGAAACGAGGTGGCCTATATGAGGTAGGTCATAGTCTAGATATTGCTCAGAAAATCGTCTACCTCTCGACATGAGAAACAACTAATCTTTAGTGGTACAAAGCAAGTATATAAGGTAGATCATAGTTTAGATATTGCTCAAAAAGTTGAAGTATTATCTAGAAAAGTGGATCAACTATTAGCATTAGAACACATTTCTTCACAACCAACACAAATGACATAACGAAAAGCTTGCACAATCTGTTTAAGTCCTATCCACTGTGCAGCCGAGTGCCCATCAGCACCATAGCGTCCCGAGTTAACTCCAGAGCATGTCAACGACGACAAAATTTGATGTTGCATACCAAAATAAAATGAATAAAATCGGTGGCAACAACTACTACGAAGTATAGCAGTTGAGAACGGGTGTTGAACCATAGAGACTAGCGCAAGTTTTTTCAGTTCAAAGATTTCAGTTTTGAAAATGGAAAGTGAGAAAAGGAAAACCTTAGGGTTTAGAATCAACTACTAACCTTGCAATTAGGGGTTATTATATTTATATTGTAGTACACTGTGTCTTGGTCGGGACACATCACTTAAAAAGATTTTATGTTTACAAATCAGAAAGTCACGAATCATTTTTGCTTTGCACAGACTGTCACCAGTAAACTAAACTAAACTACTATTGATACACGACCCGTCTTACTAGGTATGACTCGTCTAACAATTTCAATACACAAGTGATGAAAACAATTGTATAACATATATTCAGGACCAGTGAACATAATTTGATAGAACATTATTTACACAAAAATCTAAGTTATACAACAGTACCCAAATCAATTAAAAATCTAAAAAACTAAATGCAAACTACCCCAATCACTTGATCAGAGTTTCATCTTAACCCTAAAATATGGAAATTAGTTTCACATACTAATATTACAATCACTATAAAATATATATATATACTCTAAACCTTCCCACTCTCCCTTTCTTTCTTTCTTTTCTTCCAAAGCTTCGGCTGAAGCTTCCTGAGCTCCCCAATTCCTTGAATTGCTTTGCCTTTTATAGGGAAAACATGACTTGCAAATCAACAAAACAAAACAAAAAATAAATAATATAAAAATAAAATATCAACTTATACATATATAAAAGTTGGAGCAACGTGGGTGGCGTGGGTGCACAATTACAAACTGTGCACCTTTTTAATATAATAATATTTAAAATGTATTATTTATATTAATTTTTGTACAAAAACTCAAAATATATATAAAAAAACACAAAAATATGTAAAATTATAAAATAGTAAAATGTATTATTTATATTAATTTCTGTACAAAAACTCAAAATATATATAAAAAAACACAAAAATATGTAAAATTATAAAATAGTAAAAATACATGGACTAATAAAATGTATATCAGGGGGCTAAAAATGTAACATTTAGGCTCCACTCACACCCCTCAACTTACATTTTGCTAGTCTTCGAGCAAAACAAATTAAAAATAAAATAAAATTTATCTATGTCTTCTTCGTAGGAAACACGATTGCCTTTAGCATATGCAACTAGCCTTTCAACCCCTAGGTTGCCCCTAGTGAATGAGTTATAGTCTCGTGAGGATTTGCATTGAATATACCGAATAAATTCAAATTTTTTTTCCTTTTTTTTTCAAAAATTTTTAAAATTTTTTTTAAATATTTTTTGAATTTGCGCTCAAAGAATCTCTTCAATCCAAATGATAGAAGTCTAGAAGATTGTAGATTCCCTACATTAGAAAAATAATTAGTCAGAGTACAAAGCACTAGCAATCATTGGGAATATGACATTTATTTCTAAGCTCAGTGTGTGTGAATTTTTATTTTTTTTTTAATTTACACTGATACGTCCTCAACTTCAAAATGAAACACAGCCCCAAAATTTCCATCCGAAGCATGCTTTGACTCAGTTATCTCTAGTTTACTCTCAACAAATAAAACATTCTGAAATGGCTCAGCTCATTAGTGTATGTATGTGAGAAAAGAAAATTATGTTTATCAAAACGAAAATTTTTCACATTTAATAATGAAAAATGTTGTATAGAAAAGTAAGTATAGTCTCATGGTAGGAAAGCCGAAAATAAGGAAATTATGTCACTTTGTCATCCAAAAAATCATGCTAATCCCAAGATCAATTAGGGCTTTATTTTTTGTTGTAATGTTGGGTTAAAGGAAATTATTTATAAAATTGGGTGAAGGGTAGAAAAATAGTTGTTAAAAAAATGAATTGAGCTAAATTAGCATATATGAAACACTGTTTTACTAACTCACCCCTTTAACTCCTTTTTTTACATGTGATTCACAACCATCTTCAATACTCTTCATGTTATTAAATTTTTTTTTTTTTAACATCGAAGGAAATACAAATTTTTTTCTCTTTTTTTTTTTTTTTTGATAATCTCCTTGTTCCACTCACAATAACAGATAAAATCCATTTTTGAGACACCGGCGGAAATGACTAAATGAATAAAAAAAAATTGTATAGGCTCAACGGGCTAATAAGGGATAATTGAAACAAATTTTTTTTAATGAGGCTCAAACAAAAAAAGATGGCCTAAAATCATTTCTGAAAATATAGTATGATTTATATGTTACATGGACAAAATGACATAAAAAATGATGATTTCAATATTTTTCGACCAATTTGAAAAAATAATGAGACTATTATAATAACGACATAACGAGCTATCAAATTAAAATTAAGAGTAACTGTCAAATAACCCTCCAAAAATAGTGATAGGCTCAAAATCTCACACGGGTTATAGTCTCCACATTAGACATCAAGATTTTCAAAGGTTGTGTCCTAAAATCAGTAAAGTAATATCTGTGTAGTGACGTGCACATGATCAAACCGAAGATGAAACAAATGAGTATTATAATGAGAAACAGTGCAACAAATTAAGATAAAATTATAATCCTAAGGTAACAAAATTACATCTAAACTTAATCACCTCACGCACAGAATGAAGAAGAAATAATACAATAATCGCTCCAAAAAAAATTGAAAAAATAAAAATATATTATACACAACAAGAAAAAAACAACGAAAATTTTTTTTAAAATAAAAACACATGAAACAAAATAAAAGTAAAAATAAAACATAAAACATAAATTTCAAATGAAATGGTCTTTTAGAGCCAAATTTCAAGGCTTATTGTGATAAAATTCCTTAGTGAAAATTGTCAATTGCATCCTCACCGTAACATGACTCAAACAAAATTACTTTTGCTTTACTTAGCTGTTCCCGAAGTATGGTTTGTTAGATCTTTCACCATGTAGAAACTTTACCTACAAAAAGGATTAGAAACTAAACATAAATATATAGTTCAAAATCAACAACCCGAAAAATTTGTACATAACAGATTTTTTTTTTTTTTAACTGACAAACAATCATTAACAATGTCTATAGTAAACAAGAACGCTACAAGTGATTTGACAACAATGACACATCCCTTTATCCCGAATCCAATTTCTTACAATCTCCCTATCCTTGTAGCTTAACAGTAGATCAAAAAACGGACATCTCAAAGCCACATTCATGAGTTTTACTCTGCCCCTTTTTGATCCAGTCATCGATTTCTTTTGAAATTGGATTTGTTTGATCACGTAGAATTCTCCCTTCCAAACAGTAAGATATTCTCTTTGCTATCCTCTTCTTGGGCAGAGAACTTTGTCCATAAAGAGACCTGGCTTTTGAATCTCGGATTTCGAGGGTCCTCACCTCACTAGCCTTCACTAAAATTAGTGTCCAAACGCCATAAGGAAATGAACAAAAAACACACATTCTAAAAACTAACAACCGACCATCACTGTGAACCATGATTACTTTCTAACTGACTCTCTATCAAGTCCTTTAACGTCTGCTTGTCACAAAGACCCAGAATAAATATAAAACAATACAATTTTTTTAAAAATTTTATTTATTTATTTATTTTATGAAAATGCACAATTTTTTTTTATAAAAACACAAACAACAATAAAAATAAAAACAAACACACAAAAGAAATAAACCAAAACCTTTTTACCCAACTTAATTGACATTGTCCTCAATGGCACATATCAAAAAGGAACAACAAAATTAGTTAAAGAGAGAAGAAATCAAAATAAAAATAAACAAAAGAAAAAAAAATATTAGTAAAAGAATCTGCCCTTATCCTACTCAATCATAGGGAGGTATCCACTCCAAAGGTTTATAGTCAGCTGAAAAATGCTCTAGTGATGTTCCCTAGGTGTATGAACTAGGCCAAGTTGGTCTTACAGTACCAGACATTTCGTCTCTTCAGTATACCGGTTCCGCAATGCCGCTAACAAAACCTACAACACCAAACCACATTAAGCTAAGGGAGACACTTCCCCAATGGAACAAGAACCAAATCTATTTGAAGTAGGAGCTCAAGTATTTTCTTTTAATCCAAAATATCTACGCGGTGGGACATGTGTTAAAGTGTTTGAACACAAGATCAGACCATTAGTTGCCTCTAATGCAGCGCTAAGTTTAACGTCTTTAACCAGACGAAAATGAATCAATTGGTTTGTTAACCAAGGTCTACCAAGGCATTAGGCACATCCCACCTAGTAGTGGTACGTATAGGAATAAGCTCACCATTCTCCTTTTCAACCACTGTAATTCTTGACTTCTTAGGTACAACATGTGTGGGACTCACCCCCTTGCTATCTAAGATGGGGGAAGTGATACTCATATCTAGCATTATTACCACTTTGTTTTTCACTACTTCCTTCATGGTGACATTCTTATGCTTCTTAAGTATACACAAAAGGCGACATTTGTGCTCACTAGACATGTTAGAATAATCACAGGAAGAGTGTCATTAGGCCCTAAGAAATAGTATTTAAGTGAAGCAGGAAGAGGTTTCAACTCAAGTTTTGGTGGGGTCACAATGGAAGGTACTGCAAGCTCATTAGAGAGAGTAGAAAGGAGCTCAATTTGAGATTTCCATAATTGAAGGTTCATGTGAGGAGCAAAGTCAAGCAAAATGTTGACCTTCTCAATAGATCTATCAATTTCAAAATTCTCAAATCCGAAATGAGTAAGACATGTCTCTAAAGGATCTATTAAGAGAGTAAATGGAAGAATGTCCTCCATCAATTCATTAACCATATCAACTGTACAACATTCACTATCATTGGAAGGGTGTTCGGATGCTTGAAACACATCCATCTTGACTTGCATATTTCCAAATAATACTTCCATCACTCCCATCTTACAGTTAATGCATGCATTGGCAGTGGATAAGAAAGGTTGTCCTAAGATGATTGGGATCTGTTTCTTATTAGTTAATGCAGGTTCCATGTCAAAGACAAGGAAATCAACAAGAAAGTAGAACTTATCGACCTTAACTAGGACATCCTCAATTATACCACGAGGGGTTTTAAGGGAACGATCAGCTAATTGAAGAGTCGCTGATGTAGGTTTCAACTCACCAAACACCGAATAGGGAAGAAGATTGACACTAGCACCTAAGTGAAGGAGTGCCTTTTTAACTATGACACAAGAAATGGTAGGTGCACCAGGATCTTTAAGCTTGGGAGCAGTGCTGTTGGTCAAAATGGAACTGACATGTTCAGTGAGTAGGATCTTTTTGGTCACATGGGTCTTGGATTTACGCTTTTGAGTGCACAAGTCCTTGAGAAATTTGGCATAGGAAGGTACTTGTTTATTACCTCTAATAGGGGGAGATTCATTTTCACTTGTTTGAACACCTCCATCATTGTTTTTGTAGATGTTTGCTTCTTCTTACTGAAAAGAGAAGGATCATTTAAACACCGGGGATATGGTGCCTTTGGCACATAGGGGTAAACTCACTTGGAAGACTCAGGGGACGACTATTAAGCTCATTACTTTCCTCTGGTGAATTTTAGATTTGACTACCCTGCTCACCTACTTTTTCATTAGTCCCATTTGTTCAGTTTGGTATTTCTCGACCACTCCTAAGACTCATGACAACTTGGATTTGCTCTATGTTCTTGCCATTAGATGATTCCACCCCATACTGTCTCTTTGGATTTTTGACTGGCCGACTAGGCAATTGTCCTTCCTCCCTCTTACTCAAGGTGTTAGCCAGTTGGCTAATTTGTATCTCAAGTTTTGAAATGTATTGGGAGTGGGAATGAACAAGTTGGTTTTTAGCCAGCAAGAGTTGTAACATTGTTTCTTCAAAGGTTGAATTTTTCTGAGGAGGATATTAGTATGACTACTTAGACACAAGCTGGTAGAGAGGTGGATTGGCAAAATTTTGGAAATTCTGCCTTGGTGGAGGCGGAACATAGGAATTTCCTTGTGATTGTGAGCACCAAGAAAAATTTGGATGGTTTCTCCATCCCGGGTTATTGGTGTTTGAGAATGGATCATTACCTGATTTAGAAAAAACCTCTGATCGCATTAACAAGCTCTAGAACTAACTCGGGATACTAAGGTGCTGATGGGCACTTAGCTACACAGTGGATTGGACTTAAATAGATTGCGCAAGCCTATTGGTATGGCGTTTGTGCTGGTTGTGAAGAAGTGTATCCTGCTACTAACAGTTGATCCACTTTTCTAGATAATACTTCAACTTTCTGAGCAGTATCTGCACTATAACCTACCTCATATAGGCCACCTTGCTTTATACCACTAAGGGTTGGGGTTGGTTGCTCCTCATGTCGAGAGGCACACTCATGATATAGGGAATTTTCACTCAGATTTTCAAACAACTCTCATGCTTGTACATCACTCTTAGTCATAAATGTCTCACCACAAGCTGAGTCGACCATTTGTTTGCATGAGTCGGTCAAACCAGAATAAAAAATGTGAACAAGTTGCCACTGGGGTACCTGATGATGGGGACACTGATGAAATAAATCCTAAAACCTTTCCCAAGTCTCATGGAAATGCTCACCATCAATTTGAGAAAAATTGGTGATGACACATCGTATTTGATTGGTTTTACCTATGGAAAAATATTTGTCTAAAAATTTTTGCCTCAATTGGTCCCAGGTTGTGATAGAGTTGGTAGGCAAGGAATTTAGCCGGTATTTGGCCTTATCCTTAAGTGAAAAGGGAAACAGTCTCAACCTAAGGCCCTCAACGGTAAAATTTTGGAGTTTTACTGTAGAACAAGTCTCTAAAAACTCACTAAGATGTTTATAGGGATCCTATTACTAAGCCCATGAAAAGATGAAAGCATTTGAATCGTACTAGGCTTAATCTCATAATGGATTGCTTCAGTAATTGGCATTCGGATGCAAGATGATGAAACATTGGCGGTAGGGGTAAAATGTGCCTTTAGTGAGTTAGGTTGGTGTAGCTCGACTTTTTGTGCTCCTTTCGAAAGAAGAATAAGTCCTACAGTATCAAACTCCCACGGTTCTGAATTTGATCTCACAAGTGCAATGTGAAATAGATAAACACCAAAGAGTCTAAATCTGGTAAATCTTTTGGAAAATTGATTTTGAATCAAATTGTCAAAAATGGACTGCTTTGCCAGATACAGAGTCGCCACCTAAATATTTTTGAAAAATTTACGAAACCCACAACTAGTGCCAAAGGCCACGTATCCGTCATCACCAAAATTGTCTCAGCTTGGGAACTTAGGTACAAGAGGAGAAGGTCATGAATTGAGCACCCCCGCTCACCCAATCAAAGATCGGCCTCTACTAATCATGATATGATTCTTATCTACATTATATGCTCTTATTCCAGTTATTAGACTAACATTACTATGTGATACGCACACAAGTATAGACTAATTTGCAAGAATTGGAACACTTGATTCATATTTGTTTTGAAAATTGTTTTGAATACGTACCACTTGAAAAAGTGATCGATGCGAGTAAAGGCTCACCTAGTACTCCAAGCCAATAAGAGAAACGAGTTAGAAAAAAATGCATGATTCTTACCTATGCAATATGACTAATGCAACACATGCGATATGGAATTACTAGGCTCAGCTACTAAACATAGTATGTGAATCAATTTGATAGTATGCGGTCTAAGCACATATTTCAAAGAAGTATTTAAAGGACAATGCAAGTTAGAATGATGCACCGAGCCTCGGTATATGCAAGACAAGTGGATGCAAAACATGAAGTATGCTAAACAAAACATGCTGCCCTAATCTAACCATCGTAAGCAGTTAAATAAAAGGGAGAAGGACGTGGGGTTGGAAGACATACACATTATTACAACATTACGCCCTCACACAGGAGGGTCCGAATGAACTAACTAGTTAACTAATTAAAACTAAACTAATTAATTAATTATTACAAATCCAAATAAAGCTAACTATTCTAGTTAGTTATTACAATAAATTAACCAACTATTCTAGCTAACTAATTATTACAAGACAAAATTAAATAACTAGTTTAACTAACTAATTAATTACAACACTTTACAAAATTAACTAGCTACAACTAATTAATTACAACATGAAGTAACTAAATTAACTACTCTAATTACTTCTCCTCGGGAAATGAGGAATGCTCATGCATGTGCGAACTTTCCACCCGAAAAAGCCACTGTTTCTGCTGCTGAATGCCTCTGTTGCACAGTGGAAGACTTGCACTGTTTTCCACCTCCAAACCAACTATGTTCTGCTTCAAAAGTACACTGCTGGATTTTGCACAAGTGGCCGGCAGAGGGCTTGCCATCCACTGATGATGGACTGTCGGCCACTGATGACTAGATTGTCTTACTGCAACAGAGAGCAAACAAAGCAGGGATAGGGTATTCTCAAGGGTTTGTTTGAATAACTTATCCCTCCTTATCATTTGAACAGCTCAAAGGAGTAGTAAGTTTGATTCACAAACCACCAATCGATGCAATTTTATTGCATGATGGCTTATGAATCAAGTGTGCAAGTTCAATGAATGCAACAAAACTAGGCTCTCAAAATCACCTCTCTATCATGAGAGATCAAGAGAAGTAATTCACAATGAATCTTGAACCGTTTTCATCACTAATGAGTACGAAACGACTCAAGACTCAAGGGGTTCAATTAACGTCCGATTGAACCCAATCCAAATTATTATCTTGCTCTTTTTTATTCACCAATTTTATTACTCCATTTTAATTACCTCTCAATTCTTTAATCAATTAAGTCCACAAGTGAATTTAAGTCCTCTAATGGAAAGATGGCTCAAACCAAGTGTTGTTTTGGGCATGAAAGAGACATCATACCGTTGGTAATGAACCCCCAAAGGGATTAAACCATTAAGCATGACACCTCAATCTCATGCTTAAGCAAATAAATAATTTGAAACCACTTTCAAAGCAAAAAAAAAGCCAAGAAAGGAAGGAGGTTGCAGAGGTGATTAAAGGTGAGAACAAGTAAGAAAAATACTAAATGAATGCAATCAACTCAAATAAGGTTGTGTCTAAGGCCTAAAACACCAAACTTATGAGGACAATTACACTACAAGCATGTAATATAAGACTCAAATGTAATGAACACTTAAAAATAGTCGTAAAACAGTGCTAAATAAGTCCTAAAACATGCTGGAATTAAAACAAAAATAGTCAGAATAATAAGCTAAAACATAGAGCTATGTAAGCTAGTGAATAAGACACAAGGAAGAGAGGCTAACCCCTCTAATTTTGGACTTCAAAAGGTGTTTTTAGCCACTAAAATAATTCTGAAATTCAGTAGTTAAAAGCTCAAAAAAAAAGGTGACAACAAAGTGGGAAACACAAGGGTAAAGGCCTTGGAAGCTAGGTAGAAGGAATGGTGAGCCACCCATCCACCCTTATTGGCTTTAAACTACAAGTTTCAGTCCAAAATTTCAGAGTTTAGACAGTCCAAAAACAGCCCAAAACAGTACAAAAATGTGCTGGAATGAAGACAAAAGTAGCTAAAATAATAAGCTAAAACATAGAGCAATTTAAGCTAATAAACAAGCCAAATGAGAGGTGGCTGCGGACACCCCATTTTTTACCACCCTTAAAACTTGGACACCACTGATGGTTTACTTGGTGGAGAAAGGTGTACAGGGGAAAGGTTCAATTTCTTCGACAAGGAGAGAGACAAATCTCAACTTCACACCCCATTTTGGACCAAAGCTATTTTGAATGGTTTTTAGACTTTAAAACCCTCTCTTTCAAAATATTTTTGAAATAAAGTTTCTACAATGTTTCGAGGCTCACATTTTGTCAAATGATGCGCTTTTCGATAAACCGAGCAAGGACAAAGTGGAAATGAATGAAAGAGAGATGAAATCTTTGAAAAATCTTTCAAAACACCTTGTTCAGGGCTTTGTAGTTGAAGAAAAGAGGAGAAGAGAGAAGAAACCTAGCTGAGGAAGAAGTTGGGTATGAACCGCTAAGAGAGAGTCGAGCGATCCTCGCTAAATCAAGCTTATCTGTCTATGCACTTGAAGTTAAGCTATGAGGCTACCACCATTGGAAATAAGACTTCCGGGGATTCATTTTTCATTCAAGAATCTCTTAAAGCCGAGTCCAGATGGGGGAGATATGACTGGTTGAAGTTGGGCATCATCTCGGTTGGACCGAAACTGAGCAAGCTTCATCAAAACAAGCATAACTTTTTTCAAAGTTGGAATTTTTATGTAAGGCTGGTTCCATTGGAAAGCTTACTTTAGGGGCTTCAATTTGGACACAAGAATGACCTGAAAAGGAGTTCATATGAAGGAGTTATGCCCGTTTGAAGTTGGACCTGCAGAGCAGATTTTTCCTGCCGGCCGACTAAACAATGTGCCGACTGACCAGAACAAATAGTTGACTGACCAACTAAGTAGCAGGCCGACCATTTATAGTAGCCGGCCGACCATTTTTTTTTGTCGACGACCTTCCGGTGTATTCTACAGATTGAATGGATGCCAGCTGTGCCAACTGGAGGGCACAGACTGGATCCTCCATACACGTGTATGGAGGATCTTTGCTCTTGGTTTGAAGCTTCTAAGAGAAGCTTTAGTCCCTTGACTCTATAAAGGAAGGCTCCCCTCACCTTATACCAGGTTCAGAACTTGGTTAGGGCATATACACATATATCCCTCTTTGTCTCTCTATATCTCCTCCATTTTAGCTTCAAAGTGTAAGGTTCTTGGCTCCATTACCCTACACCTCATAACCTAACCTCTCCATCATCCATCCAAGCATCTTAGAGCTTGTTTTCAGAGGCTAAGGGACTGGTTTTTGGGACCAAAGGCTGCTGGAGTTCTTGGCTACAAGGGTAACACACGCATCTCCCTTTTTAAGGCTTATCTTGCTTCATAGCTTAGCCATACTTGCAGGCATTTTCGAGCTTTGTCATAAACTGGAAAAGGTCTTATTTTGAGCTCCTATTGAAGTTTGTTTAAGGACATTTTTCTGTTGGGGGTCGTCTACCCCCTTGTATGCTTCATCTCCCTTTTAAGGCTTTATTTTGATCCATATCTTATCCATACTTGCAAGCATATTTGAGCTTTGTCATAAATTGAAAAAAGTCTTGTTTTGAGGTCCTTTTGGTGTTTGTTTAAGATCATTTTACTGTTGGGGGTCGTCTACCCTCTTGCATGCATGTTTCGGCCTTGTTTTGTGCCATACCTTGAAGCCTTTGTATTAGTCTTTGCTTAGCCTCCTAGCCACTGAAATCCAGTGGATTTTTAGTGGTAGGCTTGCTGTTTTGAGGGCCTAAATCAGAGAGGGGTGACCTCTCCCTTGTTGTCTTGTTTGTTGGCATTTTTGGCCTTACAAAGGGGCTTATGTTTAGATCATTTGGAGGCTTGGTTCAAGCCATTTTTGGTGACTTTTGAGACTTGCATAGACTCTTTCCATAGCTGGTTTGGTCCATTTTTGTTTGCCTCTTGCATGTGTAGAGTAACTCCCTTTTTGGCTTATCAAAGGAGCACCACATTCTAGCATGTGTTGACTATGTTTCAGTGGCTTTTTGGGCTTATTTTGGCATGCCTTGAAACTATTTTTGGCTGGTTTGGTGGTCCCTCAT